ACTGATGGCCTATTGTTTCCTAGCTGCTCCTACTTCCGAAGCACCATCCATAAAAGACCCAACATAAGGACCACCTCCTCCTTGAAACTTGCTCTGACACCCCCCCCCATCAGAAACAGCTGCTCCTCCCCTTGAGCTATTTGTTTCCTTCAGTTCTACACAGGGCACAATGGCCAGTCGCTTAACTCTCTGATGCTATGGTCCGAATGCTGGTGTCTCCCCACCAAATCCCTACGATGAAATCCTAACCCCCAAGGTGTGGTATTAGGAGGTGAGGTCTTCAGGGGGTGATTAGGTCACAAGAATGGATCCCACATGGATGGATCTAGTGTCCTTATAAAAGGACCCCAGGGAGCTCTCCCCTCCTTCTGCACGTGAGGGCACAGCAGGAAGACGCCATCTATGAACCTGAAGCAGGCCCTCACCAGACACTGGACCTGCCTTGATCTTGGACTCCCAACCTCCAGAACGGTGACAAATAAATATCCTTTGTTTCCCAGCTGCCTGGTCTGTGGTGTTCTGCTTTGGCAGCCTGGACAGACTGGGACATCTGGCTGGACTGTGAGATCAGGGGCCAGGGCTCTCTGTGACCCCCACAAGCATTAAGCACGTACTCCAAGAGAAGAAACTGCCCACATGCTGCAGATGAGCTGGGAAAATAGGCCCCTGTTCCAGAAGGACCAGGAAAGGGTCAGAGGGCACAAGGAGTCAGGGTGCACGCAGAACCGGCCTCCAGGCTGACTCACCCGACCTTCCTGTGCCAACCCAGAAGCTGCACTTTCAAGGAATCTTCTCTGGGAAATGAAGGAAGCCCTCCGGCTGCTTCTCCTGCTGACAAGCCAAGAGACTTCTTTGTTTAATAAGAAACTTCTCCTTTATGCTTCAATTTGCATAAATTTAAGGCTTATTTTATACATGCTACCCAAGGATGTCTGTTTGCCTTAAAACCTCCCCAGCTGTCCCAGGTGAGAAATAAAAGGCACCTGAGAAATTAGGTCAGGGTGAATGGGGAAGAAAAATATCCATTGCCTGACATGAGTGTGCGTTCCCTGGGCAGATCCGTGAGGCCTACTGATAGGCAGGTTACCTACCGTTGGGCTGCATGGGATGGGGGAGGCCTCTGAGAAGCCACACGCGCTCAGCTGATGAAAACTGCTGAAAAGGCCTCTGCAGAAGAATTCTGCAATCCTTAGGGCTGTTAACCCTGAAGGTTAGCACAGGCGTGGGGAGTTGTCAGCAGTGTCCAGCTGGAGAGCTGGAAGGGGACAGGCCACCCGCAGATCGAACGCTAGCCAGGGCAGCCGATCAGGCACAAGCTGTCACAGAGAAGACACCACATGCAAGGCTTCCCCTACCAGTATTCTCGTCTGCTGACTGTAACTTGCCGTTCTTTCCCCAAATGTTGTTTGTGACGTGAGTGGGAAAGCGGAGGTGACATTTTTATCGTAAGACGTTGCTCTTGCCTCGCCCTTCCTGAGGTTCATGGAGAGAGACCATGCACAAACCAAAACAGCCAGTCCCCATCTGACCTACTGGCCCCCTTCTGCCAGGGCTGTGGTGCAGGGAAAGAGCACCGCCAGTCATTAGGTGAGGCCGGGCCAGCCTCCTCCTCCAGGAGGCACAGCAGTGGTCCCCATGGCCAACCCCACCGCTCATTCCGCTCCAAGGGACAGGTCCAAGCCAGCCTCAGACACTCCAGTGCCCTCGCCAGGGACTAAGTCAGGTCAACCCATGTCAGACCAGGAGTCTGTTAAATGTAGATGCTAGGCCCCATCCTCATAGCTTCTGATATAACAGGGATGGGGTGAAGCTCAGGAACCTGCATTTCTAGCAGGTGCCTGAGTGCTGCTGATCCAGAGACCATACCGTGTGAGCCACTGATTTGGGCACAGACAAGCTACCCAACTATAGTCGGTGTGAGGAGACCCTGCGAGGGAATTTCTGCAGAAGGCTTCTTTGCTGACAAAGAGACAGTAGAGGAGACAACCCCCTTCAGCCTCTGGACCATGTGATGACAGAGATGTTCTTTTATCTGCTCTGTCCCATGTGGCAGCTAGTAGCCATGCAGGTAACCAGAGAGCACATGAAATGTAGCTGGTGTTACTGTTGAAACTAGAGGGGTATCCGGGTGGCTCAGTCAGTTGAGCGTCCAACTCTTGATTTCAGCTCAGGTCATGATCTCACTGTTCGTGGGACTGAGCCCTGCATCTGGCTCCAAGCTGGGAGAGTAGAGCCTGCTTGGGATTCTTTGTCTCCCTCTCTCTCTCTCTGCCCCCTCCCACACGTGCACATACACTCTCTCTCTCAAAAATAAACAGACCTAAAAAAACTACAAATTTTAATTTTAGTTCATTTTAATTAATTTGAACTGTAAATAGCCACCTGTGGCTAGTGGCTCCCATAAGGGACACTGTAGCCCTGGACACTCCCAGGTCTAGATGCGACAGCTGGAACTGTTGCTACAAATGCCCTGCCATCAGCCTGAGCGGAAGACACACACAGAGAGGAACACAGAGCCACATCCTGATGTACTCAGCCCAACCTCAGCGGCTTCTGTGAGATCACACATTTCTCTACTGTTTAAGGCAATGTGAGAGGGTATTCCCTCCTCTACAGCCAAAGGTCTCCAGGCTAACACAGTCTGCACAAAAATGGGGCCACTCAACCCAAGGACGATGTCAACTGCTGGCATAAGAACCAGAAAAGCAACACTTGGGTCCCAGTGAACTGAGGAGGGTCTGACCCAAAGGGATACAACCAGGTCTTTCAGCATCCAAAATTCAGGCACCAACAAGCAAGGCTCAGCCTACACAGGACGTCCAGCACAGCACTGCCTGCTTGTCAACAAGTACCTGGGGACAGTGTTCACCCCTCCATCCCAAGGGCCAAACCAGCTCCAGGTACGCATAGAACCAAAGGTCAGGTCAGTGACATGAAGCTTCTTCCAGAGTTTACAGAAGTCCGGCTGCATAAAAAATACCTACTCCTACTCCTCCTTGAAATTCCACTACTAACAATAACCGCTGTGGTTTCAGTAATCGCGCTCTCTTTGGAGAGAATGATGCAAATGTTCCCAGGAAAGATACCACTGTAAGCCCTGAAGTGTCGATGTGAATGAATTTGTCAGGTATCTGTTAGATCACTGCACCTCGTTTCCAAGGGGAACAGGGAGCCAACAGAGCAGAGCATGAGGCAGGAGAGGTGCACTCAGGATTCAACCCCCTCAGGTTTACAAAAGCCCCAAGACAGCGTTCCATTCATCCTGACTGCCCCACCCCACGGGATTCCCAGAAGCCAGTCCCGTGTTCAAAATTCCAACAACCCCTTCATTGAGTCGATGGACTCCTAGCAGACAGCACAAAGTAATAAACACTGAAGTTCTGTCCTGTGGTCCCGGAGGAGTCCTCCCAGACAGGGAGGAAGGAAACTGATTGGCTGCTCTGTGTCCTCCCCAAAATGTTGAAATCCTGACGGCAGCAAATGTGAATGTGACTTTATCAGAGATACAGTCAGACACTGAAGATAAGGTCATCCTGGAGTAGGACTAGTGTCCCTTGAAAAAGTAGAAATCTGAAGACAGACATGAACACAGGGAGAACACCATGTGAAGACAAAGGCAGAGACTGGGATGATACATCTACGAGCTAAGGATCACCAAGGATTGCCAGCACCCGGGCAGAAGGGAGGAGAGGTGCCTGGGACAGACCGTGCCTGATGCCGTCAGACTAACTATGAGAGAATACACTTCGGTTACATAAGCCACTCGGTTTGTTATACTATGCTATGGCAGCCCTAGAAAACGAATACAATACCTCCCTGCTTGTAGCTCTCTTACTGGACTGACCTCACATGTTATATTTACTTATGAAACCGTCTTCCCCCTGGACCCGAAGATCCACAAGCACTAGGACCACCGTCTGCCTTACTCACCACTGCATTCCAAGCCCACTTCTGGCGTTACAGAGGTGTTCTGTAAGTGTCAGTCGAATTAACGCATGAAAGGTCTGCCCCCGGCTGGGTCTGGACTCTCTGACATGAGACTTGCCCTCTCTCAGTGTCAATTTCCCCATCTGTCTATGTGGAAGAAACAACGTAATTGGACCAGATGACCTCCGTGAGCCCTTCTGACTCGGAAACTCCAGGACTCTCCACTGAAGGTGTATGCATCCAACAAGGTCAGATCAGGACATCAGAAACCGCACGAGGGTGTTAAACAGAGGGCACATGACACAGTAACAGGTAACAGAGGTGTGGGAAGACTACGAGACCATGACAACCTTCCTGCTGAGATATCTTCAGTAAAGTAAAGGCTTCTGGAAACACTTGGACTGGCTACCCCTGTCCCTAGGACAATACACTGCCCAGAGGGCTGTTACTGCTTACAAAGGACAGTCCCAAAAGGGGCCATTCTCATGGACAGTGGTCACTGAAGTACAAAGCCTGGGTCAGGGGGACAACAGCTCACTGAGAAGCCCCATGCTCTGACAAAGTGAAGAAATGGTGAAGCACGGCCTCCCCTACCACCCGCCTCCATTCTAACACCATATCCAGATTTCTGCCCTCCTCTGTTAAGAGGATGTATTGCTGGGGCACCTGGTAGCTAGGTCGGTTGAGTGTCCAACTCTTGATTTTGGCTCAGGTCATGATCTCATGGGCATGATCTCATGGGCATGAGATCGAGTCCCACATAGGGCTCTGTGCTGACGGTGCAGAGCCTGCTTGGGATTCTCTCTTCCTCTCTCTCTGCCCCTCCCCTGATGGCGCCATCGCTCTCTCAAAATAAATACACATTAAAAAATAATAATAATAATTTTTTAAAGAAGAGGATAGATTGCTGATGGAGAAAATGTGAATGGAGTCAATAGGAGATGACCCCATGAATGATCTGACAGGGGAGGCCAACTTCCCATCCCATAGACTCAGGGCTACCTCAGCTCACACCCAGACCCCCCACCTACCCGGTGCCCTCCAGGAAGGAAGGGTGTCCAGGTGGTACTCACCCACACTGCTGAGGGAGCTGCTGCTTTCTGAGTCTGAGGGCATGATGGACAAGACGCTGTAGGTGGAGCCTGGGGACAGAAGGACAGACCATTTGTTACTAACCCCAAACCACTGTCGGACCAACTGGTCTTTAGTCAACGCCAAACTGAGAACCAACACCACGTCAGGGACTAGAAATCAGATCTAAGGGGCGGGCAGGGGAGGTGTGGTCAGCAGGGCCTAGTCTCTGGTATTTCTGCCGATGTCCCACCTCACCTTTCCGCCACCCTCCTGCCCTGGAGACCTATCTACGCACAGACAGAGGAGAACTTGGAGCCAGTCAGATGGCTTCTTGTTAAGACATCTGGGGAAAAGCTTAGCAAGGGAGCAACATATGCCCCAGGCTAAAATAGGGTCTCGGGATTTCCTACAGATCTTTATCAATATGACGCTGGCTTCCATGCAGACAGCAAGAGAGGAGAAGCTAAACATCTATGAACTATTTGTTCTTTTTGCCCGACTGTTCTGCTCTCGCGTTCTGACTATATTCAAGCTCAGTCGTTAATGATATAGTCAGTGCCTGCCCCCTTATTAAAAGTTACTTATAAAATTTTGAGCAATTACACGGTCACCAAAGCCAGGGAGCAGTACGTGCCCTTTGTTTGGCCAACACTTAACGTTGTTAACCCCTGAGGTGGGCACACAACTGCCACACCACAGCTTCCAAGGCTAGGATGTTACCTGCCTGGCATCAGTAAAACCTCTGGGTGAAGAAACCCAGCTTCTGAACCTAGCTCTCATCCACTGAGCAAGTCACTTGTTTCCTGGAACTGTGCTCCCGACCTGAACAAGGATGGGGTTCAGCCAGACAGCTTATGAGGTCCTCTCCCCTGTCCCATGTCAGGATTACACGTTCCCCCTGACTGCATGCTTTGCTTGTGGCTACAGGGGACACAGTGTTAAGAGGGCAAGCCGACCAAGACTACTTTGGGGGCTGAGAAAAGCACCCATGCACAGGCGGTGGGTCAAAGAATACAAGGTAACAGCAGGAATGCAGGGTTTTGTCCTGCACAAAACTACACAGTGAAGAAGTGTGTGTACCAGGCAGAGCAGGTGAGCGAGAGACGGGATTTTTGCGGTAAAGCCTTTGCATAAGCCTCAGGGCTCCCATGTGAGAAAGCAGCCAAGAACTAATGAGATCTAGGACTCCAGGACCTGAAACGTGGGGGCCAGATGTCAAAGTTTCTTCTTTCCCACCTCAACTCTTTTTTAAAAAAAAATTTTTTTTAACATTTATTTTTGAGACAGAGAGAGACAGAGCATGAACGGGGGAGGGGCAGAGAGAGAGAGAGGGAGACACAGAATTGGAAACAGGCTCCAGGCTCTGAGCCATCAGCCCAGAGTCCGACACGGGGCTCGAACTCACGGACCGTGAGATCATGACCTGAGCCAAAGTCAGCTGCTTAACCGACTGAGCCACCCAGGCGCCCCATCTCCCACCTCAGCTCTTGACTAGCTACCTGATACCTGCGCACTCCCCGAAGGGACAGCAAAGGGATGAAGAGATGGGGGTAAACAGGGGAGAGAAAGAAGGAGACCCATGGGGGCGGGGAAGGGAGAGGCCAGCAGGGTGACAGATGACCCTGAGCAGACGGGAAAACCTGGGGGGAGGAGAGGAAGGGCAGACAGCCGAGCAGCCCTGGCATAATGGTAGGCGGGAGAGCTGGCAGGTACGCCCACCAGAAAAAGAGACAAAAGCGGAGAGCAAAAAGAAAACACAAGGAAAAGGGACTTTCATAATAGCAAGAACTAGGACAGTGGCCAGGATGACCAGTGGCCTTGTGACCGAATTTTCTGAGACTCTCTTAAGACCTTAGGTGCTTAGGGTGGATTGAAGATGTTCTGTCTTCAGATGGGACTGTCAAAGGGATCTGTTTGTTCAACACAGCTTCTGGCACCAGAAATGGACACAGCAGGTAGGTGCCAGAGAAAAGCTGCGGGTGGGGGCGCCTGACAGACAGGGCTGGCTCGGTCTGCAGATACCTAGGAAGGGCAGGGCCCCCCTCGACACACGCGTTCACTTCACGGAGGCCCCGTGCCCACCTGGCAGGGAGACCACAGCACGGTTCTGCACATCACTTGAAGGAAAAAGGAACTAGAAAACCCTGTTCAGCCCTGAAATTCCTTGATCCCACCAAAAAACGAGTAGCAACATTCAGTGAAATACCTCCCATATTTCAAGTCCGACCCACACAATTCATTTTGCTGTCCATTCAACGTTTCTGCATTTTTGTCCCAACAAAACAACGAGCACCACAAGTTTCTTAAATCATCTCTCTTCCCACGCCATAAACATCAAACATTGCATAAGGATCCACGAAGCAATGTCAGATGCAATTCAGGCAATCCGCTGGTATGTCAAAGGACAAAAACGTAACACAATGCCTGTTTTCTCAACTCAATTGCCAATTTCTTAATTATTTTCTTCTTTATGGGGACGAGGAAGGCTAGCCAGCTGGTATGTTGGTGGACTGTTTTCAAAAGATGCCCACTCAGAAAAGCAGGCGCAAATAAACTCTCCCACTCACACCTTGCGGATCTCTGAGCTGGATCGTGCTTGCGACAGCACGGCCCCGCGCTCCAGCAGCCGCTCCTCGCGGGAACGCCTTGCCTCTTCCTCACTACTGGCATTGGCAGAGCCCCATCTTCCAGTAAAGCGCCCCTCCTCATCAAGTTGCCTCCCTCCTCCCCCACGGCCAGTTTCCACTGTTAATTAAACTTGGCAGACGCCCTTGTCTCTCTCCGCCCATCTCCCTCCCTGGCTGGGGGAGTCAACTGGCCAACCAACACATTCTGTCCCTCTTCTCTGTCCCCAAAGTCCTGCTGGGGTTCTGGGGCCTGACCTGGGGGCAGCGTGACATCTCTATCTGCATCTCTGGGCATCACCACCCCTGAGTCGGCTGGCAGGGCTCCTAGGAGCTGGGGGCCGGCGGGGAGTGATTAAAATTGGACAGGGCCCAGTTTTCACAATGTTCCCAGGGCCTTAGACGTCATTCAGAGGGAAAAAAGGCCCGAAGACGACGCTGTCTTGGTCATGCTTTGTCTCTGCTGCTATTGTTGTCTTAAAAAGCCTGTGTGGTCAGGATGTCGGGAAAAGGCAAGAGGAGTCACTCTCCTCCAAAGTCACGCGGTGTCCTTTCAAAGCCGGTGGCTTCTGAAGGGCGGGTGTCAGGCGTCATCTACCTCTGGGGTTTCACAATCGAATCTGGAGGCCAACAGCAGCCTCCTCTCACAGGCACACGCCTCCCAGCCACCCCCAATTCCCCCAGGAGTTCCATGCAGGCACTCAACACCCCACCTGCCCTGAAACCTAAAGCATACCCCCACCTGGCAGAGAGGCCCAGGCCAGTGAGGGCTGAAGAATCAACCCGGCTCCCGCGCTGGCACTGCCCCCACTCCCTCCCCATGTGCCCTCCCACATCCCCGCAGGACACCACCACTCAGGGCAACCCCACAAACTGAGAGGACCCAGAAGTTGATGGTCTGGAAACGTTTCCAGGAAAGGAGAGCAGGGCATAAGCCCAGCTTTTCATGGACATGTAGACCACAGAGGGACACAAGGGAGCTCTTTCCTGCCATGGGGGCTACCTGGGGACCCGAGCAAAATGTAGATTCTGATGTGGGGAGACGACGGGGGCCTGAGACTCTGCATTTCCAACAAGTCCCCGAGGGCATGTGGTCGACAGACAGAATAAACGCAGGGCAGCAGGGATGACCGGAGTCATCGGGTGGGAAACCAATGCAAATCGTGGCAGAGGCCCCGAAAGGCAGCCAGCAAGCCGTGGGACCCACGCATTGTCTGCATCCTTCCCAAGAGCCCAGCCCCTGTTAATTGTGTTTACTCTGTGACTCAGCCCCACTGGGTCAGGGAGACCACTTCAAAAGAACTTCCAGTAAAATCACCCAAGCGATAACAGAATGCCCCAGCCCTCCAACAAGGCCACCTCCCGCAGCCTGTGGGGCCCAAAAGAGACAAGCTTAGCTTGTCACCTAATACACCCCTCCATTCACCTGGAGCTCATAAAGGCCCCAGTGACTCACGCTTCCTCCCCATGAAACCTGTAGGCACCGAAGGGACTTGTTCCAGCCTTGAGCCAGCACACAGAGTCCTCCCTGTGCTCCGGGAGGGTGAGGAGAGGCTGGGAGGACATGCCAACCAGCCCCCCCCCCAAGCACCTGGGAAGCGGGAGGGAGAAGGCGAGCCACTCTTTTCCTGGGGGCTCTAGCCAGGAGGTCCTGGAACCCTCCCCCAGGTCACAGGCAGATGACCGAGGGCACCCGATCGCTCTTGTGCTTGCACGTGTCCACCAGGTTCCTGACGCACGCCTGAGCCCTGCAAGGCCCTGGGCCAGGCCTGGTGAAAAGAAGACAAGCCAGGGGCTCAGGAGGCTACTCAGCTGCTGTGAAACCGTGAAGAAGTCCCTTCCCCTCTCTGAGCCGGGGTCCCTCAACCTTAAATGAAGGCAGTATTGACTAGAACACCCACAGCGGTGCCAGCCTGCCTGGGCTGAACTCCCCCAACTCTGCCACTTAGCCGCTGTGTGCCTTTGGGAAAGCCACTCAGCTCTCCCTGCCTCCATGTGCTTATCCGTAAAATGGGCTAGGAGGAGTACTTTCCTAACAGAGGAATCTACTGAGTTAATGTGAAAAGGACTTGAGACAGCACCTGGCACAGCCAGCGCTCAAAGTGCCAGCTGCTGCCACCGTGGTCAAACCAGGCCTTCCAACCCTGCCATTTTCAATCCTCTGCTTATTGAAAGTCATAGCGGTACTAGAGTGACAAGGTCAAACAGTGCAGGATGAACAGACTGCCAGACTATATGGTACTAACAATAATAATAATAGCAGCTAATACACACTGAGCACTAGTGTGCAGCTGTGCTAAGCACTTTAGGAATTCCCAAAGCAACCCTGAGGCTGTCATTAGGCCCATTTTACAGAGTAGAAAACTAAGGGTTAGCAAAATTAACAAATTTGCCTAAGGTCCTGACAGAGGGACGAGTAAGGGTATGAACAGGACACAAACCCA